GCGAACAGGTTGATTCGTCGTCCTTTTGTCCAGACCGCAACCCCCAGAAGCTGTGGAATGCGCGACTCCCCAGAGTTCGCTTGAGAGAGTGCCGCCTCGCTAATACGAAGAGTGTATTTTTTGTATTTAATTTTGAGAATAACCTTTTCTAATTTTGTCGCCCTCCTATGAGCTAGGAATGCATCTGAATTTTTGTAAGTTTTCCTTTCCTTCCGATTGGAGAAGCAGACATTGCTATGTTTGTTTCATTATTTTGTTTTCATAAAATTTAAAAAGGTAACAGTCAGTGTGTTTTATTTATAATTTATTTATAAAAACCCCTGTTTAAAGTACCTTCTGTGTTTTGCATTACGTGTTAGTATGTACGTAAATGTAGGTCAACTTTTCACTTTGTTTTGTGTAACGCGCACAAGTTTAAATTTTAGTGTTACTTGCTTACCTTTTCAAGCGTGCATTCTCTTGTTTTGATGATCATTGGCGGAGCTCATTGCAGTGAGAGCTTGTAGGATGACGAACTTTGTTATGTTTAACAGTCTGACGCTTGCAAGCGACGCCAATGTGCGTGATTCATAATTGCTCGGCGTACTAAATTGTAGTTTCGGTGCTAAATTGAGCAATCCTCAGAAGCTTCGATCGTCCAGAATCTGCCTAAATCACAATTGAGAATCGCTTGAAAAAAAATTCTGTTTGGTTTAGCGGTGTCATGCACTGACACTTAGCTAAAGGTGTGTCCGCATTATGTATTCCTCCCGAGATTCCTTGCTCGTGATGCTAATTGTTAGCCCAGCGTAATCTCGAGGAAACATTTGGTTTCTGCTGGTCTGGCGACTTGATCAGCATTTGGAGGGTGCTTGCTTTGGTCAGAGTGTTTCGGCTTTGTGTTCGACTCCGTCGTTCCAGTGAACCTCTGCAGGCCTATGGAAGTCTCAAGGGGCGGAGAGAGCGGAACGGCTAGCGACGGTCAACCAGCATCCCTCCTTCCGAGCCGCGCTGACGGCTCAAAACTCCGGATGCATTGTCTGGCGGCGGGGGTGCTGTTGTGCCACAGACATGTTCCTCGTTCGGGAGCACGTCTGACGAGATCGAGCCCTGTTCCGACAAACTGGCTACCCCCCCCCCCCCTCCCAGCGCCGCCTTCCGTGCAGAAGAACCGTGCAGTTCCGGGGATAACGTCGCTTCCTCCGCCGAACCACTTTGCAGTTCCGGGTATGGCTACGTCTCCCCCTCCAAGCCGGAGAACTGGTCTGAGAGAATGGACCAAAGACGCTATTTAAGGCCGAGCCGGCCCCATGTTAAGAGATTTTGCCCCAGCCGACGTTGTCGTGCTGGCCGGCTCTGTACAAGCGACAACCTGCTACAGTAAACGCTCCTTTTGTTGCTGTTTTCCAAACGGATTGCCTCCCTGTTTCACCTTCGGGCAAGTCCGCTCGACGGCTCGCCGCTCTTCGCCATCGCTACCATCGCGACAGAGCAAAATTCATAACAGCGTGGACAAGTCATGGCCTCCCCCCGGCTATCTCTGTAACGAGCGAGCGCGCCGTGTTCAAATCTGCCAGTGGCTGATAGATGAGTCGTTGACGTGTGATTTTCAAGCATTTAGTGTGATTTGTCGAGGGAAAAGGAAGCAATTTTCAGCTGACTTTGATAATTTATTGTGAATTCCAGGCCACGAGCTGTGCTATGATATTTGACTCGCGTGTTGTTGGGAGCCTCTACTACCGATCAGCAGCGTTTTCTGACCGTGCTCAAAAAGTGTTGCAGGGTCCCTTCAAAATTCTACTCAAACCGAGAAAAAGATGCTTAAAGCTGTAACGATAAATCACTGTCTGTTTATTGTGATAGTTTTGTAAGGACACTCTCGGCTGGATGTTGCCACCAGCGTATATATATATTGTGGGCATTAGTAAGCATGGGTAGCAATATATATATATATATATATATATATATATATATATATATATATATATATATATATATATATATATATATATATATATATATATATATATATATATATATATATATATATATATATATATATATATATATATATATATATATAGTCCAGTAGATTCTCCTTGAGCGGTCACAACGTGGTTTATTTCGACGTTTCGGCCTAGAGTCTGGCCTGATGAAGGCCAGACTCTAGGCCGAAACGTCGAATAAACCACGTTGTGACCGCTCACGGAGGACCTACTGGACTATATGCAACGCCACGGCCACCCAACCACCATGCCTGCCTATATATATATATATATATATATATATATATATATATATATATATATATATATGTATGTGTGTGTGTGTGTGTGTGTGTGTGTGTGTGTGTATGTGTGTGTGTGTGTGTGTGTGTGTGTGTGTGTGTGTGAAAACATAAGAGACATCACTCCGGCGCACGGAATCAAACGACGTGCGACCTCTGTTTCGTGTATGTGAGGCGTTAACCGCTGAGCCACCAAAGAGCACGTCCTTCAACGTTCAAACGGCAAGTTATTCATATCTACCACTTACCTCTACTGACGCGACTAAAGGGGAATTACCATGTTTTCAGCATTAGCAGCAAGATGGCGCAATGAGCGCGTGCCTCGCCTAGAGTTACTGTATATACGCAACTCTGCTACCTTTAGGTAGCAGAGTTGCGCCTAGGTACAACATCTTGGGTTCAAAGGTTTTGCGGGAAAGCCACTCACCCCCCGCGTAGGAGCAGCGCTTGCACTTCATAGTACCAGCGTTGCTTTATTTATTTTCTTCGCTTTCTTTTCTTTCTAATCATTATGAAGGTACGAGAAAAACTCAGTTGCTCTTGTCACGCCTGGAAGTCTTGATTTTATGTTTCCGTTTTTGGTATGCAATAATGAAAAAAGTGCGTCAGCTTGTTGAACTAGTGATACATATGTATATTTAAGGTAGGTCACACATTAGCTTCGGCTTCATTTGCACTGTTTTTCCCATTTGCCTATATAAAACAATTTTTTACTCTTGATCGCTATCGAGCCACTTAGGGATAGAATATTTTCATCGCGTTGGGTTAATTCGTTAACTGTGTGAGTTAACTAGTTAAAGCTTTGTTGTCTTCAACTAGATCGAGCTTAATAGCGATCGAGAGTGGCCGTGCGACGCCCGCGTTACGCGCGGCTCTCGTATTACGCTCGTATTACAATCGCGGCTCACGGACAATGGATGTCAATCGTTGTTCAACAACCCTGCCTGTCCAACATCTTTTTCAGCCTAAGGTTTCAAAGCTGCGTTCAATTCACGCACTGGCAGCAACACCTTGCCGATTCAAATAGCTCTAGCTTTAATTTTCCATTTATTTTTAGCGTTTTAGCCGCCAGACCAATTTGGACGTATGCAGGACGTATTCACTACCTGCATCTGTGGTTAATACATATAGAGGAAGTTTTGAAGTGTCGTGGATAAATTAGAAAAAGGGGAAGCGCACTGGGCGTCAGTAGAGAAGTGGAAAAGGGGCACTTGCCCCCCTTAAGCCACAACAGCACTTAATCTCACCTAAGCTAGAACAGTGCTCTCGTTCTCCCTAAGCCGCGATGCAGCAATGGTTTGCATTGCCAAGAGAAAACACTGCCGACGACCATGGGCAAGTGTTTATTCCTTCCGACTGAACACTAATCTTTCTATAGCAACACCCGCTGCACCCTCGTCTACTCACATGTGCTCTACATAGTACGATTCAAAGCAGAATTCATTTGCTGCCGTATTTCTATTGACCATCAGGCAACATGGCTACATTAGCGAAGAAGCCCGGTGGGAATAACAACAGCCGTTGCCAACCCCGCCCGATCTGCCCAGAATCTGCGTAGCGTTGACTTCTGCGCAGTGCAAATGAACCACCTATGACCACGTGATGGCGCTCGGCGAATAGGGGCGCTGACCTCCTGTAGGCGGAGCGAGCGGCACCCGGAAGACGGTGGCGCAACTCTGCTGCCTAAAGGTAGCACATGCAGTAACTCTAGCCTCGCCACATAGCGGGAGGGGGGGCGCACGCTCTAATTTTTTACACGTGCTTTGCCCCACTTAGAGCAGGGGGGCGACGCTCCCTCGCGCGCCTTTATCACGTGGGGAGGGGAGAATCGTAGTCTTGGCTGCCATCGGGCTTAAATGAAACGATTCTGCTTTAGTTACCGGGCGCACAAAGGTCACTGCAATCATTGCGGTATTCGTTAGCAAAAAGCGCGCGCTTTTCAGACGCAGCGAAGTAACAACTGAGATGCTTATTCGCGTGCATCAGTACCTGTGAGTACGTTTCGTGCGTCATTTGCGCGTGAGAAACGCGGGGCATGTTACGATGAAGGAGAATAAAAAAAAAATGCTGGAGTGGAAATGATTACCCAAGAGTGAAGCCCTTCCTCTGGCAAGATGGCGGCTGTTGCAGCCATCTTACTAGGGGCATGATAAAGTATCACCGTTCAGCGATTAAAAACGAAGCGTTTTTCTTCGCACGCCCAGCGAGTTTCTTGTGTGAACTTTTTCGGGTCACATAGTGCTCCAAGTGCATCTTACAGTTACTAGTTTTCCTTAGTGAGCCTCTAATTGGAGGCAAAGTACTTTGAAGATTCAGTCATCCATACTCGTGTCTGTGTGTTATTTCGTCGGGAACAACTATCCTTTAATATAGAACTAACGTAGCATTTACATACCATATCAAAGCCACTTGATCTTTATAGGTGGGCACTATCAGAAAAGAGCATGTTTCCGCCATCTTGGCAGTGGCAAAAGGTGGCTTCACTTCTGCTGGCAAGGCATTGCGGGAGCTCCAGCAATTCTACTTTAATCCTCCTTGGTTTCGATCTGCTTTGTATTCTGCGCGTGACCTTCCAATTTGTTGGAATCGCATTCATTGCTTCGCTTTTACGGAAAAGCTCCGACTTTTTTTGTTCCCACCACGATCCAATCACACGTGCCTTTAAAAACAAAAAGTGAATACAGCTGCGTGCAAAGTGGCTCGAGGGGTTGAACGCTTCGAAGTTCACGAGACACTAACCTGGATTGGCTAAGTCCGGAACAACGCAGGCGACCGACGCGCTGCAGTTGTTGTCGATAGGAGGCGCCGTGTACCACTTGCGCTCGGCGATGTTGTACTTCTCCACGATCTTTATAGTCGCCGTGCCTGTTCAGGAGACAGGAAGAAAACCGGATCATCCTTTTAGGAGCAATCGCCGTTCACTCCTGATTCGCACAAGCCCAATCTGGTGTTATCGCCGGAAAATAAAAAAAGAGAGAGCAACTCTTACCCTATCGAGAAAATGGAAGGTGACCGAGGCTTGGCGCAGTGCATGCCTGGACCCAGTATTTCCATATCATTGCGGAGCTACTTAAGCGAAGCATTCGTCATCCGTCGCGAAAGAGGTGACGTTACCACGCGTTGCCAAGCCACTGGTGAAATAGCTGTGCGTAGCTTCAGCCCTGCTTCACGATCACAGAAGCGGCTCCGTCGAGCCAAGCTCCTGCCAGATACGCGTGACTGAGCATGTACCGTGACGTCATCGCAGAGTACCTGCGCTTGGCTCCATCCACCCGCTTCGCCGCTGGGCGCAATAGCTTAGCTCCACGCACGAGTCGTGACAAGACGACCAGCTGTGTTTGCCGGGCCATCCTTGACGGGATCGGAAAAGACGAGTTTACAGTGGCTATATGCTCGACGTGATGTCGCTGCAGAACCACGCAAAGAGCTGCCACGAAAGACCGCGTCGATATGCGTTGCCAAGACGCGAAAAATTCGCACGCGAATCGACGATTCACAACTTTGACAAAACCTCGAAACGCTGCAGGACCGCCTCGGTGCCCATCAGCTCTGCCGTGTTTTCAGCCTTGCATCAGTATACCGTTAGCTACGCCCCGCATTTCGCCTTCCTTAAAGGGCCCCTAAGCAGCACCGAGTTCAAAGCTGAGACAGCAGCTTCTTTCGCACCCCTTCACAAGCCTCTCTACAAGCACTGTCTCCTCCTCTCCCCTTATCTCTTCAGAAAACACGCGGCACATCAGCCCTGCGCGTTTATCCAGTCAGGATTTCACACTTTTCAACTGCGCGCTGCCATCTCCACTTGCCCCAGTCGCAAACGCAGACGACGAAGTGCAATCCGTTGATAACGCAACATAGTCATGTGAAACAAGGCAGACAGGGCATGCGATTGCATTGCAAAGCACAGTCGACGATTCGTAGCAGATTTCTGCCGTATCCGTAACCAATCGAGAGTTTATTTCATCCTGACGTCACAAGAACAAGCAGCTGACGTCACGGATTGCGCCACAAACATGATTTGATTTGATTGATATGTGGGGTTTAGCGTCCCAAAACGTGCACATGATTATGAGAGTCGCCATAATGAAGGGTTAAGGAAATTTGGAACCACCAGGGGTTCGTGCATCCAAATCTGAGCACACTGCCGCAAAGATGCGAGACATCGCGAAAGTATAGTATTTTCAGATGTTGTTGCTGAGACCCTTTATCGGCCATAGAGCACCCATTTGTAGACTCTCCTTTCATGTGTTGCTCCTATTTTAATCAGCTTTCTGTCCAAAGCTCGAGGAACGATGTTCCTGTAGAGCAAGAGTATCAAACTCACATCACCTGTCAGGCCGCAGTCACCTAATTAGTAAGACAAAGCTTGAACAAATTGTTAGCTGCACTGGTGCCCCATGAAATAACGCCTTTCCCATATCTGACATATGGATCATTTCTAAAGGGCATTTGAGGTCAGCTTTCGAGAAGCATAATGGATGCCTATCTACACAATCACTACAACCTGGACACCGATCCCAGGCATAAAGGTTTTTCGTTCCTGCGGCTATGCTTTGAATGCAAGGTGATCCGCATGGTGGTCTGACGAAACAAATGTGTAAGAACAGTCACATATGCGTAGCTTAAGTGCACAAGGCGTTACTAATCACGATAGGCAAGAAAATAATGCGAGCGCCAAATAGCAATGTCACGAACAGTCACAAAGTCACGAAATGAATGTCGGACAAGAACTGATGAGTGGGTCCGTGTTTGAGACCACTGCTGTAGGAGGTCAAAGGGTCTGAAGAGGATGTTGAGGTTTTTTTTTATTTTTCCATGGCAATATAATTCCACGCACTCACTGACCAGCCTTACCGTTGAAGCCCCCGATGACGTAGATGCAGCCTTCGAGAACCGCGGCGGCGAAGTTGCTCCTAGCGCTCGGCATGCTGGGTGATTCCGAGAAACGGCCTCTCCGGGCGTCGAGCTGTTCCACTGAAAGGCGTGAACGTGAGAAGTATCAAGAGATAGCCGTGAAAGGAAAGTGCTTATAGCTCGCGCCTTGCGAAAGCCCGGCATGTCACAAAAACAGTTTCTTAACACACATTTAACTATCTCATACCGCGCTCGTAAACGCGTCGTGTCTATATTCTTATTGCTACTGAATGCACTGCCGTTGCGTTCGCTCGTGTAGTTTCTGCTGGCGTACCTCCCGAAACAGCGCTTGAAAATTTGCGAACTGTTTGTTTGTGCTCAGAACTTAGTGCTCAGAAAACGGGCCAGATCGAACGAGTTCTCAAAGTGGCGAAGGCGGCGGCAGCATGCATGTGAGAAGGGCAAAACGAATGTGAACATTTTCGACGCGCGCTGACGTGGTTTTCCGGCCACTCTGGCATTTTCGTTTCCTCTTCATTTCCCAAGTGTGATGACCGATAGAACATGTACGGTGGGGGACGGAGAAAGAAAGCGCAAAATACAAAGAAAGACGAAAGAAAGGGAAAGAACGCAAGAGAGAAAAAAAAAAGACAGAGACATTGAGCAAGATACAAAGTTGTAGAAAGAAAGAGAAATCGAGAAATAGAGAGGAACAGATAGAAATGCAAAACGAGAAAGAAAGAGATATAGACCTAACAAGCGAAAAAAAGAACAACATAAAAATAAACAAATAAAAATAAAAACAAGACAGACAAACTAAAACAAAAAGGGGGAAAATAGAAATAAAGAGAAGGACGGATGGAGCAAGAAGAAAATAAAGAGAAAGAAGGTTGACCACCCAGCTCCGCCCTTCAGGCTTGCTGTCTCTAATGCGTGGCAACCTTAATTTTTTCAACGCACGGAAGTAAATGTCACAAATGTCAATTGTGTTCATGGGCCGATTTCCGCGGGGTGCTTAGCGGCTCTTTTAACAGTTGCGGGGCTGTTCAGCCATTGGCAAAACCGATGTGATGTCGTTACTATGGCTGGTACTGGGCCGAGATTCCCGCGTTTCTCTTTGGATAAACTTTTATTTGGTCCTTCAAACACGGTCCACTGTGTTGCGGGCAGCTCCCACGTGGGGACTGAGATGCCAAGTTCCTCAGCCGCCTCGCGGGCTTGGTGGACAGTCCAGAGCTGATCTGCCAAGGACTAGCTACGGATTGCCGCCTCACATCTGGCAGAGGTGATGTTCGATAAATAAGCGAATTGGGTACACTGCCAGAGCATATGTTCTAATGAAGCTATTTCCCCACATAAGCTGTATATTGAAACTATTTCCCCGCAAAGGTATAGGTCAAGGTAGATGATGTGGAACATTTTCAAAGTGGAGTATATCCGCGTTTGCAAAAGTCTTAATGTAAGTTTTTGGGGCCGAGTTAGATTTTTGTGAGGTGGAGGGAAAATCCTTCTAGACAGGTAGAATTGTTTAGTGAGCTCGTTGCATGTTGTAAGAATTTCCCGGTTATCCGCTTCTCCGGTAGAACGCATCCCCGGGGAGACGCGGTTGGAGAGGTCTTGCGCCGCCTCGTGTGCTGCTTCATTGAGATTGGGAGGGGAGTCGTTGATTTGTCCAAGGTGAGCTGCGAACCAACTCAGAAGATGATGCGTTATGTTCTTGCCATGTATTCTCAGCGTTTGTTCTGAGACCATCCCCTTTGCGAAGGCCCGTAGTGCTGCCATGAAATCACTGTAGACGACTTCAATGTTCTCAATCTTGAGAGCTAAAGCGATGGCCACCCGTTCCGCAATGATTGGGTCTTTCGTCCTGACCGTCACTGAGTTGACCACATGGCCAGCCCCATCGACCACCACTGCCACAAAAGCTTTCCCATTGGCATAGGAAGCCGCGTCAACAAATACGACCCCTCGTTCCTCGTTTGAGACTTGACGAAGTATAGTCCTGGTTCTCACTACTCTTCTTCCGATGTTGTGTTCTGAATGCATGTTTCGTGGTATAGGAGACACCCTGATATTCTCCCTGATGTTGTCGGAGATATCATTGTAATTGCGTCCAATTGCCATTGGGTGTTGACCCAGCTCCTGCAGGATCGTTCTACCACACCTTGTTGTAGATAACCTTGCAAACTGTGCTCTCTCTTGGGCTTCTGCTATTTCTTTGAGCGTGTTGAATGACAAGCTCAAGTAAACACTCGGTGCTGGAATGTATGGGTAGGCCCAGTACCTTCTTGATAACTTTCCTGAGGAGCACATTCAGTGTCTCGGACTCTGCTCTAAACCAGTTGTGCATTGCTGCCTCGTACTTGAAGTGGCTTAGAACAAACACATGCACCAACCTGATGAGGTTGTCTTCCTTGATCCCATTTCTTTTATTGGCCATTCTGTGTATGAGGTGCACCGAACTTCTGTTTTTCAAGATAACTTGGCTATAGATTTGCTGTTAGCGCCGGTAGACTCTATCAGCATGCCCAGGACTTTGATGGAGTCGAACCTATGGATGGCATCCCCTTGATTTGTACGAAGGTGGATGTCTATCTGGTTCAACGGCTTCCATCCCCTGGGCTTCAGTCACCGGCGTGTAGTCTGATACAGTAAATGTTCTGACCTACTGGAAGAGCACTTGAGCCCAGAAGGACTAAGGTACTCTTCTACGGTGTCAATCACCTCTTGCAGGGCGCTCTCAATCTGCCCCTCACTTCCACCTGTGCACCACATGGTAATGTCATCTGCGTAGAAGCTGTGCTTTAATTCTTCGATGCTCGATCATTTCTTTGACAGTCCAATCATGGCAATGTTGAACAGCATTGGTGAAATCACTGCCCCTTGCGGCTTGCGATGTGCCCCTTGCTTCTAGATGATAGCTGCTGTCTCAATATCTGCAATCTTCGTCACGGCTTTCCGATCTGTAAGAAAGGACCATACGTAGTCATGGAAGGCTTTCCCCCGACCAAGCTTGGAAATTGCTTCGAGTATGAATGAGTGGTAGATGTTGTCAAACGCTTTTTCTAGATCTAGGCACAGAATGGCTCTCACGTCTCTGGTTTTGTTGTCGATGACCTGGCGTTTCATAAGCTTCATTGCGTTTTGTGTGGAGAGCCCTGCCCTGAATCCAACCATGTTGTGTGTATTTATGTCGTTATCTTCCAAGTACTTGTTTATCCTGTGCAGTGTGGCATGTTCTGCAACTTTGCCGACACATGATGTCAAGGATATTGGCCTCATGTTGTCCAAGTTAGGGACTTTCCTGGCTTAGGAATAAGGATTGTGCTAGCCAGTTTCCATTGCTCTGGCACCCTGCCTTCTTTCCATGCTGCGTTGATTATATCCTTCAGGGTGTCAATTGAATCGTCATCAATGTTACGAAGGGCATTGTTTGATATACCATCCCGGCCAGGGGTTGACCTGCCGTTGAGATCATGCAAGGCTGTTCTGATCTCCTCGATGTTAAAGTCGCCTTCAAGACCTGGATTGGGCGGGCCCTGGTGCTGTCTACTTGGTGGTGCCGATCCTCTTTTGATTGGGAGGTACTTAAGCACGAGCCGCTGCACAACTTGCTGTTCTGTAGAGCGCCCTATCCTTTTATGCAAAATTCGAGCGATAACATGCTTTTGATTTGTTTTGATTGTGTTTTCGTTGAGATGATGTTTTACCATATTCTATGTCTTGCCATTGCGCATCTGACCACCGATGGAGTTCCAAATTTCGTCCCATTGCTGCCTGGATAGTGCGCGACAATATTCCTCCACTGATCTGCTTACCTCAGCTATCTTCTTCCTCAGTCTTCGGTTCAGGCGCTGACCCTTCCAACGGTTCAGTAGTGCTCGGGGATCACGAGTTTTTGCGGCATTGGTCACGCCCTTACGTCAACGTTGAACGCACTGAAAGGGTACAAGTCATTTTTCGACCGACGTTGTGCTAAGCAGTTCCCGTAGAGTAGTTATTCATAATTTCGTTTGTAACCAGTTGTGTTTCATTGCATATATTGTATCGTTACACCATTCACTGTATCATGACAACGCATTGAGTGCTTGTGTACTAGTATGACAACTTTGTCATGCATATTAGAGCAGTGGTGTCTTGATTGCAACGTTGTTATGTCTGTCGTGGTACATAGATGTACCGAAGTGTATGTACCCATTAACTGGAATTTTATGAAACCTTTGTTTTTTGTACATAGTGGAAATAAGCTTTTTCTAAACAGAAATACACTGCTGATAAATTTATACCGTGGCTTTTGGGTGTTTTGTTATTTAATTTTGTACTACTTTTTATGCAAACAAAAAAGATTATTTCAAAACATGGAGTAGTTAGGCCTGAGCACCCGACTGCTGTGAGATCTGTTTTGCATCGTTTCGTTTTGTTTGCCAGCCAGCCGCTAATGCTGACTTCGACTGCTCCCTCCAAGAGCATGCGTAAAGAAGACACTGGGTGACGAAGGCGCGAGTTTTGAATGCTACTGATTGATTGATTGATTTGTAGGGTTTAACGTCCCAAAACCACCATATGATTATGAGAGACGCCGTAGTGGAGGGCTCCGGAAAATTTGACCACCTGGTGAATGCTACTGAGCAGATTGTTGTACCGTGACTTGCTTAAGAAGTCATGTCCACGGACCTGGAATAGCGCCCACCAATCAACGCCGCGCTTCCCACGATGATGTCTATGCTTTTCCAATCAATCTCGGAGGCTTTTTTTTTTCTTTCGATGATCCCGGTGGCTCCGGATTACTTCGCAAAGCTCCGAAACCTTACAAAAAGTGCAGAAGTCAGCTCAAGAAAATGAAAAAATGAAATCGTATTGGCCGTCAATACGTTCTAAGAAAGAAAAAAACGCTTAATGTCGCGACGCATGGGGACATCTGTTCCCTGTGAGTAGACACGTGGCATTATATGATCTCTTCATTACGTCATTCATTCAGCGGCAAAAGACAGTTGTGGCAACCTAGAAAGATTTTTCCCATGATGGGCCTGGTTGGACTTGGAGGTGTAGAAGCATGCAGCCTTCATATCCAATGACGACTATACATCATCATCATCACCATCATCATCATCATCATCATCATCGTCGTCGTCGTCGTCGTCGTCATCGTCGTCGTCAGCCTGACTACGTCCACTGCAGGACAAAGGCCTCTCCCATGTTCTGCCAGTTAACCCAGTCCTGTGGTTGCTGCTGCCAATTTATACCCGCAAACGTCTTAATCTCATCTGCCCACCTAACCTTCTGTCTCCCCCTAACCCGCTTTCCTTCTCTGGGAATCCAGTTAGTTACCCTTAACGACGAGCGGTTATCCTGTCTACGCGCTACATGCTCGGCCCATGTCCGGGCATGTAGCCCGGACGACTATACATATAGAGGCAAACGAACAAATCGAAAGCTGAGACGATCCCCTGCGCATTCATTTACGACGGCAAAAGCCATCTTTTCTTTCTTCTTGGTTGGTTTTATTGGTCATTCTTCTCTCGGCGACCGTTTCTCTCAGCGAGAGTTTTGTGCCCCAGACGTGGTTTCACACTGCCTCCGAGAACAGAGGCATCGCAAGCTTTCTACACCTAGCCTGCTTTTGCATGTCCTCCGTTATCGGCCTACCTCTTACCGAACGACAATATGCCACAAATTTCCGTGACTTGTAACGTAAAGGCGGTGTCACATGACGATGCCACGATAGGGCGTCATTGTTTGGTCAAGGTTTCATGGTCTCTTAAAGATGAGAGTTGGCCTAGCTGGTGCGAAATAACTTGAAACATAACTGCAGCTAATTATGTAATTACGTCTGAAGTAACGTACAATGTACAAGGTGAAGAAAGCAGACGGAACAAGGCGCTAAACCTTAGCTTCTGCAGTTGAAGTTCATCATCCTGCTTATTCCTGTTTTTTTTTCCTCTTATAATTTTTCCATATTCTGATAGCTGTAGTTACGTCTGAAGCCACCTATGTTCTCGCAATGTCTCGCGAAAGTCTCCCAAAAGCTAAGGGAGCAGCGGTCATCTAAAGTCACATTACACTTATCACGCGGTGGGCAAAACAAGACAGCTTCGGTAAGACGGCATCGGAGATGAAAACAATGTAGGCTGCTCTGCTGTCCAAAAGGGATGCAACTAAGCAAAATGCCCAGACAGTTCGGATCTCTCCGGTGTGGTCGTCTGCCTTCAAGCAAACAATATAGCTAACTTACGGTAATTTTTTTCGCAGACTTGAACACAAAGTAAGCTAAACAAATAACAGTTATTATTGGTTTCTTATTTACTTTCTCTTGTCGAAGCGAGGTGGCGTCATGTCGCGCTGACGTCATTCAGACATAACCCATTAGTCGGACGCCTAGGGCTCGGTTCTGTTGCCTAAGCTGCCTGCGTAGGACTGTCGACGATGCTTTCTCGAATCGAAGCACTGCCATAGCCACTTAAGGGTTCCGTCTTGTTTAGAAAAAAAAATTGTTTACGCTGTGCACAGCGCATAAAATATGCGGGCCCAATCAGTATTCAGATGTACATTCACATTTTCGCGATTGTACATCACGTCACCACAACACAAAAACTTACATTTTCACATAGAGCGAGCAGCAGAAGTCAGATCAACATAATAGCAAATGCACATAACTCACAATTGACACTACAGGAAATGGGTACGTGCACGTACTATATTCCACAGTATACATAAACTTGGTGGTAGATTTTACCAGGGCAAGTAAGACATGAGATGTGTTCAGAAAAAAACTCCCAATCAATTCCGCGAGGGTGAAAAATGGTTAAGTGCGAATGCACGCGGTGATGCTATGAAGGGGAGTAGAGTTAAAATTCGTTGGCATTCGCCAGTGAGTTAACGTAAACTCCCCCGTGTGATCACATTGCGATTCCCAGGAACCATTAGACCCTCTCGGGAAATTTTGGTGAGTTTACACGTATAAATAAGAGTAAATTCGCACTATAATGATGTTTATGTCCGCGGCCCGCTTCACCCGCTTGCGCTCGGCATCACGGGCCCTTCGCCGCGCTGCCTTGTCTTCAACCGGCGCGACATCTTCAACGACGCGTGCAACGCTCGCATTCGATTGCGTTGCACTCGTTGTTGGAGGTATCGCAGTCGAGGTTGATACCTGCGATGGATCCTTCCCATTGCGACTTACCGATCTCTTCAAAGTCGTGGCTGCGCGGGCGCGCCCGCCCAGCCACGGAGCGGAGGGCGGCGCGCGCGCAATCACGTGGTGTGTGACGTCGACACGCCGTTGCTACAGACGCTCCTCTCCGCTCCTCGCGCCGTTGCTAGGAGAGAGGAGGAAGCGCACCGCGGACGGTGGATTCAGGGTCGCTTATATAGTGCATTCGCACTTAACATTTTTAACGATTTCGAGTACTTAGTACTCAACTATGGGAGAGCACTCAGCCGTCCCGCTAAAATTATGCCATTTTCAAAATGCGCAAGAGATACCAACTGGTAAGGTAATAAATGGCCTAGAGTTTGGTGCGCTGAGAGGCTTGGTGGCGAGTAGCCCACTTACACTCCACACTTTTCTCCCTATGATTGGCCAAATATTTTTAACATATCTTTTTCCAGGTTTTACACAAATTTACAAAAAACACAGCACTTCACTTCAGGCGCCTTCCTTTTATCTGAAATTCGAAAAAAAAAGTTTTTTTTTTTCTTTCGTACAGTTGTTACAACATACAAAAAAATATTTCTGCTTCGGTGTTGGAGAGCGATAATTAAAGTGACCGGAACTTTCTTGGGAAGCAACACGTGCTACTGCTATTGCACCTTTATTAAACCGAGCGAAATTGCGAATAAAGAAACTTGGTTTGATTGATATGTTGGTTTTAACGTCCCAGAACCACCATATGATTATGAGCGACGCCGTAGTGGAGGGCTCCGGAAATTTCGACAACCTGGGGTTCTTTAACGTGCACCCAAATCTGAGCACACGGGCCTACAACATTTCCGCCTCCATCGAAAATGCAGCCGCCACAGCCGGGATTCGATCCCACAACCTGCTGGTCAGCAGCCGAGTACCTTAGCCACTAAACTACTGCGGCGGGGCGAATGAAGAACCTGCTGGTCAGCAGCCGAGTACCTTAGCCACTAAACTACTGCGGCGGGGCGAATGAAGAAACTTACTGCTCGAAAGTCGCGCCCTCCCGTTGCACCCGCCGATGATGTACAGGGTGTCCTTGTGGACGACCACCTGGGCGCCACTGCGTGGGGTGGACATGGTGACAACCCTGGTCCAGCTATCTGTCGAGGGGTCGTAGCAGTCGACGCTGTCCAGGACACTGTGCCCCGTGAAGCCACCCACACTGGGCAGGTATCGTAGAACAAAATTGGATGTGTGCGTCATCGATACACAATAAAAAAACCCAAGAGAAGAACTCTTTTTTCGCGTGTCAGTAAATTACTCTTTTACGACACCAATAACATCATATTTGCGGTTACAAGACACTTGTTAAGCGACAAAATACACGAAGAAAGAAATTAATTAGGGGACCCTAAAGCTTCAACTTGAAGAGTTGAACGCGATAGCGATGTCCTCCTGTTCATCCTGAGTGCGTACACTCTAAGCCGAAATTCGGCAAAGTTGGACTAACTGCAGTCGTTAAACCAATGGACGAACGGTTCGTCCAACAGGGACTAAATGTGTGACAATGCGTGTCTTGCGCAAACGCCCGGCAATCAAGGGACCAACGGGGAGGGCAACTTCGCCGCGATCGCCTCCTGTCGATGCTGCACTGCAATGCTCGGCGTGGTCGGCGATCATGAAAACAAGTTAAATAAGCTATACGTCACTGTGAAAGTGAAGCACTATGAAACGAATAGAAGATGTTATTAGAGGAAAGTAGTACAACACGCTGTCAGTGCACACAGCAAGTGCCCTCGCGTTTCCACCGTGCCGGCACGGGCGAGCCGAAGCCAAGTGAAAGTCTCCGCAAACACGGGCAATGCCGAGAACTCGCTTTAATGGGCTGAATAAGTTCGAACTACGGTGAGCACTGACAATGCTAATAAAGGTAAGCTGTTCATCAGCGGTCGTGTACCCACACAGTGACCACAAGTTCAAAGCGATATATAGGAAAAGTAGGCTTCGTACGTCATCGGTATCAAGCGGGCTGCCGGTGTGAGTGCATTGCCGGCACAAGCGAAGGAAACGTCGCGTACAAGTTCACAAAAATGGTAGCTCAGGCAAACTTGTCTTTTTATCCATGCAACAATCGTTATCTAAAATCCAACGTGTAGGCGATCGCGGATACGACTAATCGTGCGGCCAGCGGTACACAGGGAGCGACTTACCAGCACGATGAAACAACCGTGCCTGCGAACGGTCTCGTCGCTGTAAGTATACAGATATCTACATCATTCCGTAAGACACAGCGAACATGGGGCACTTACCTATTGTTCATTTGTGACTATAAAATAACGACGACGAAAATTTCACGCGAGCCGCATGTTGCGATCGCCGGCGGTCGTTTAGCCGTACTCGTCGTAAGCCTAGCGACGCCGTCGGCAAGCCGACACGGTATGGCATCGGCGGGGCGCATGCGGCTGCTTCGCCGGCTTTCCCGCACAAGCGCCGCTGCTATGTTTGTGTTTGCGGACTCGTGCGCCAGCACTGCGAACGCTGGTTCGACCGACATGATCGAATACCAGTTGATAATTCGTATTCTCGGGCTGGAGGCATGTTGAAGATTAGATGGATCTATATTAAAAGATCGATGCGCATCGGTGCTACGAATAAGCCCATGTAAATTTTCGCGTTACGGTGTCAATATTTATTGTTTTCTTAAGCCGAGTAAAAGTCGCCCACTGGCACTAGATGGGAGGTCAAAATACTGTGCTATATATACCCGAGAGTCTTTTCTCTGTAGTACAGCGCGGGCCATCAGTGTTTGCGGTGTTTTACTTTGAAATAATAGTGCGTGTGTGTGTGTGTGTGTGTGTGTGTGTGTTGCATGAATAACATACTATGATCTTCGGTGCTGATTAAATTAGAATAAACATAAAATATACTGCGCAAACGCAGTGTCGGCATTTTTTTTTTTCTGCCATTGGTCCAGACGGTTCAACTGTTAGTCCCACTGGAGCATTCTACTGGGGCCAACATTTAAACCAAGTGGAGTAAGTGCCTGGGGTAACAGTTGCGCCCTTGCAGTTAGTCCCGCAGTTAGTCCAAAATTGGTTCAAAATTTGTGGCAGCGCATTTAGACCCCTAAAGGACCAATGGCATACCCCACTTTAGTCTTTTTCGGCTTAGAGTGTACTTCAAACAGTTAGTGCATGAAACCTTTTCGATCTTCTTACGCACCCACAGTGTGGTTGGTCTTAATTATGGGAATAGGCGCAAAAGTGTGTGTGCCTTGTGATATAGTGTGTATAGTGAACTAGAATTTTCTAGTCCACTATAGTAGTTTTTGATTGATCGATATTTGGGGTCCAACGTCCCAAAACCACCATATGATTATGAGAGATGCCGTAATGGAGGGCTTCATAAATTCTGACCACCTGGGGTTCTGTAACGTGCACCCAAGTCCGAGCACATGGGCCTACAACATTTCCGCCTCCATTGGAAATGCCGCCGCCGCAGCCGGGATTCGATCCCGCGACCTGCGGGCCAGCAGCCGAGTACCTTAGCCACTAGACCACCGCAGCGGGGATCACTGTAGTAGTAGGTAACCAGCTTCAAACCACGAAGTGATTATGATAACCACGTGTTCTGACGCGCACTGGCAAAAGGCACTTGTAGCACGCATTATTGGTGCAATAGTTCATGTCGTATTGTGAAGCTTGTATACAGTGTAACAGTGTGTTCGTAAAGCATGGAAGTTACTTTCAATGCATTTCAAAGCAGATGAAGTTACTGAATGCGAAGCCTTTCTTTGCGAACTTCGGCGACATTGAGCGAATCTCTCTATCTATCGAAAAAACCATCGATTTCTGGTTGTTTGAAGTGCATCGGACTCGTGAAAGTACAGCGAACAGTGAACGTCGAATTTCAGCGGTGAGTGGCTGTTTTTCGGTTTTCTGCAAGCTGAAAACTTCGAGGCAGCGACCGTCGCGCCCGGCCAGACGCACCGCCGCATAGCGGCGTCTGCGTCGTGGTCGCGTCTCAAGCGTCGGCGGATGGACGCTCTTCAGGAAACACCGAGGTCTCCTCAGGAGCAGCCACTGGTTCACACAGATGAGGAGTCTGCTACAGAAACCACTCAAATGGACGTTCAGGACCTGGTTACCGCAGGGTTCGTCCGAAGAAGTCGACAATGTGTCTGCAGGGGAACGCCACGATGGTGCCGCATGGACGGAGGATGGCTGGCACACGGTTTTGACACGCCGGCAAAGAAGAACCAGAAGAAAAACCAGAAAAACGCGTCAGAAGCTGTGGAGTGCAACGCCTCGTCAAGCAGCCCACCGAAGCAGGGAAGTCAGGTGAAGCGCCGACGTCGTACGAGAAGTCGCCGTCCGCTCCCGCCCCTGCCAAAGGACGACATAAAGATCATCCTTAGGCCTCACAAAGGCCTCGCCGTAAAAGACATACTCGGCTATGAACTTTCCACCGCTGTGATAGACGCTTGCCACCGACACTTCGACGGTGGTAGCTTCATGCTGCGCGTCCACCCGGGCTCGAATATTATCATCGTATCGACGCCCCACGAGCATGTAGCCAAAGAGCTGCGAGAGATCACGCATCTGAATATCAGGGGACGAGTGCACTCATTCAACTCGTATGTGGCGGATCCTGAGGACGTCCTACGAGGCATAGTCCATGGTATTCCGTCGGGGACTTCTCAAGCAGAACTCATGGCGAATCTCCGTGTGAGAACACAGGGGGTCAAGATTGAGCGGGCACGCATGCTCGGATCTACGAAGACCGCCATCATTACCTTCACGGGCAGCACACTGCCTAGGTGCGTCTATTTCATGGGAGCGGAAGCCATCTGTTATCCCCACAAGCCTACGAGGCAGGCTTGCAAGGTATGCCACTCCACAGGGCATCGAACTGACGTGTGCCCAACGCCCGACGCCAATGTATGCTCCACGTGTGGAACACGTGAACCCGCACAAGGACACGCGTGTACCCCTAAGTGCGTGATATGTGGTGAGGACCATATGACAGGTGACAAAATGTGCAAGAAGAAGCTTAAACACGTTCCGCCTAGGAGGTCCCGAGTGGATCAGCCAAAACGGAGGCACCATCCACGCTGGTTCAGCTCCGAGCGGGACTCGTCAGTGGAATCACGCTCACGTTCAAGATCCAAGTCACGGGCTTCCTCAAAGGGTCGAGCCCAGTCTGCGTCCAGAAAACGACTCAACAAACAGCCGCATCAGCAGCAGCACCAACAGCAGCAACAGCAGCAGCAACAACAACAGCAGCAGCAGCAGCAACAGCAGCAACAGCAACAGCAACAGCAGCAGCAGCAACAGCAGCAGCATCAGCAGCAGAAGAAGAAAGCGCTGGTACAAATCTTGACGCCGCCCAAAGAGGGGACGGAGGCAGCCGCCTGCCAGCCAGCAAACACGGTGAGCTGGACGAGGATTGTGTCTCCATCTGCTCCCTTAATTGAGAATCCCGAATATCAGAAAATGGTTGCCGAGAATAAGCAGCTTGCTTTAGAAAACGAGAAACTTCGATGCCAGATTAAGGAGGAACGCCGGGAGTTTCCACAAAATCATATCATCTTTAGAAACCAAACTTGAAGCCAGGCTTAACGCCTTAGAGGCGAACAACAACGCCACTCATGCTATCTCCAGGGCAACCGTAGCCCACTCTTTGGAGGGAGGAACGGCGAAAGTAGACATACCTCAGAGGTTTTAGCGAGGAGGCCCACGTTAGCCAGTTACAGATGGGGGAACAGTTGCAGAGCTTGCGAAACTTAATGCGAGAACTCCAATCACAACAGCAACGAGCAGCGTCTGAACTCCGAGAGCAGATGATGCAGCAAATGCATCAAATGTTTTTCGGAATACAGGAAAGAGTTTGCAGCAGAAACGGAACAACAAAGACGATACGTTAATGACTCAGTTGTAGGCATTCAGCGTGCCATCAACAAGCGGGTCAGTGTTACCTCCGCGAGCAGTCCACTACCGAAGGACCGTCGAATCACGGAGAAAGCAGACACCCCCCAATAAAGGCAGTAGTCACCATGGCGCGAACTAATTCCACGCAAAACTCCGACCACCTAGAAATCTGGCAGTGGAATTGTCGCACGTTCCACAAACGAGCGGCGGCATTGCAGAATTACATCCATTCGGCACTAATCCCACCTGATGTAATATGCCTGCAAGAAGTTGGGAACCGTCCCGTCAAATT